GGGCGCAAGTGGGACGGGGTAGGGGTGGGGTGGGGTGGGGGTGGGTCGTGCATACCCCTTCTCTCTGCTCCCCGCAAGCCTCCCGCCCGCTTGTGGCACCTGGAAGGCTGGGGGCTGCGGACACTTGCACGCCCAGGGAGGGTGCGAGACCCCAGGAGCTGGTGCCCAGGCCTGAGGGTGGCCAGACCACACCTGCTCGGGGGAGCCGGGTGGAGACGCTGAGGAATGGCCTTGGGGGCGGGTGCAGATCTCGGGCCCCCACCTCCTGCGCCCTCCTCCTCCCTGAGTGTCGGTGTTGGCTGCAGGCCAGAGGCGCCCGCGGGGTCGGGGTGTGGGCTCCAGGGTGCGGGTCTCCAGTGTCCTGGCCATGGCTCGTGAAATGTGGACTCGACAGAAGGGGCGGCAGAACCTCCCCATTCCCTCGAGGGGCCCCGCCACGTTTGGGTCCGCGCCTCAGAGCCTCACAGAGGGTGGACGCCTTCCCGCTTTGCCACCTTGTTCCCCAACCGATGCCCGGGTCCTCCCTGTGCTGGGGGTGGTGCATGTTGGTGCTGGTGTCTGGCTAAGGACACCTCGCTCAGGCTGGGGACGTGGCCCAGGGTGGCTCTGACTGCCTGGCTGCACCTCTAGGTGGGAGATGCTGCAAGAGGCCTCTGGAGCCCCTGGGGCTAACCGGCAGCCTGTCCCCACCCCCTGGCCCTGCTGGGCGGGCTCCCTGGGAGAGGGACCCCAGCATCCCTCAGTGGCCCTGGGTTGTGCAGAGCGAGGACAGGGCTACACAGGCCACACCCTGAGGGGCCTGGTTGGGGGGGTCTGGGCAGTGGAGCTGGGGGAGAAGGGGAGGCCACGGCCCTGGAGGTGACCGTCTGTCGAGCCCCGGTGGCTCCCCCGGTACCTACAGGGCCCCACTGCCCGCACCCAGGAGCCGGGTGCGGCCGGTGGCCCCTGAGAGCCTTCGGGGGGTGGTTTGAGCTGCAGGTGCAGGTCAGCTGGTCCCACCCACCCCACACTGAGCAGTGCTGTGGCCCGCCAAGGTCCTGAGGGTGGAGAGGGCTGGCCAGGTGCCCCAGGGGCTGCAGGAGGAAGGGTGGTGGCTGCTGCCCAGGCCCCGGAGCCTGGCCTGTGGGAACTCCAAGAGCCCTGTCCCAGCCAGATGTGCTCAGTGTGCAGGGAGGGCTGGGGCGTCTGGATCTCATCAAGCAGACTGGCCGGACCAGGGGTGGGTGGCCCGGTGACAGGGCAATTGCTTGTCCCCCTGCATCCCTCCAGGCACCCTCATCCAGGGTTCTGGCTGGAAAACCCAGGCCCCAGAGCTCAGGGACCCCAGACCCTACCCGGGCCCCTCCCGCCCTTGGTTGCCTAATTAGTAAACTCCCTGTTGTTCAAATTCCTTGCTCGACAAAATGTAAATGAAACATTTTTTTCCGGGTGTCAGTATGAAAAATGACAGTTGCTGGGATATCACAGAGGACATCTGCTCTGATCCTTAAGTGTGAACGCCCGTTTATGGCTGATGTTGCAAAACTTGAGGGAAAACATTCCCATGTACCTGGGTAACTCATGGGTGGGACGGGCCCGGCGGGCTTCCTAGGCAGTGCCCAGGGAGTGCTCTGTGTCCCTGGGTGGAGGTGCTGTCCCTTGGCTGCAGTTGCGCCGGGACAGCCACGGGATCTCGCTCTGCGTGGCACTGACCCCCCGCTGAGGACACCAGGCTCTGTTTTCTCAGCCAGAGACCGGCCGTGGTGGGCAGCTCACACACACATTGTCACCTGCAGCTACCACCTGGCTGGCCCACCTGGCCAGCCCTGTGTGCTTGGGGAGAGCTCTTGGCCCTGAAGCCCCAGCAGTGTAGCTGGTGCCTGCTGGGGACAGGGAGGTGTGCAGATGGCCCCAGACCTCCCCCAGCCACCTGTTAACTGATCGCACCCCTTCCCCACATCTGGGTGCCCTGGCCTTGCAGACACGGCTGTGGGCGTCCCTTCTGTCTGTCGCCCCCACACTCCCGAGGGTACCCGGGGTGAGCAGGAGCCGGCCTGCAGGCACCACGAGGATGGCAGTGGCCGGGCCCCGGGGTGGCCGTCTCCTTCACGTGCCCCATCCTGTGTCATCCCCAGTCCTGGAGCAGGGAGTGGGGGCCCTGGGTTCCCTGTCGTCTGGGCTGGCTGCCCGCCCTGCGTCCTGTCTGGCCTGAACTCATTGAGATGCGAGCCCTGGTCCCGGCTGCAGTTGGTGCTGCTGGAGCCCGGAGTGGCCGCCTGGCTGGACCTCCAGGCGGGAAAGGAAGAAAGAAGCGCGTGTGTCTCTGGAGCCCGGGCCTGGCCCCGAGGGCCCCGGGTGCGGGGCTGCCCCGGGCAGAGGCCTGCCAGGCCCCTTCTCTCACACTGCTCCCCTGCGCCTGCTCGGGCCCGGCCTTCTGGGGCATCACAGGGCATGGCTCTGACGCCTCAGTCCCCTGGGGCCTGGCACCCGTCCTGCCTCCACCCAGAGGAGGCCTGTCCCCTCCTGCACCCCAAATCCAGCTCCCAGAACCTGCCTCCCAGGACCTGGGGAGGGGCTGGCTGGGGCGGGCGGACTGCGTGTGCGGGGGGCTGCTGGGCGCAGTGGGGGCCGGCGGCAGTTGGTGGATCGGATGGGTTCAGGGTGCTCATCAGTCTTCCCGCTCAGCTAGTGTCCCAGCGAGCGGCAGCTGGCAGGAGGGAGGCACTCCATCAGGGGCCGACAGCTCCAGACTGGCGCGCAGGCGGGTGGGCGCAAGTGGGACGGGGTAGGGGTGGGGTGGGGTGGGGGTGGGTCGTGCGTACCCCTTCTCTCTGCGCCCCGCAAGCCTCCCGCCCGCTTGCGGCACCTGGAAGGCTGGGGGCTGCGGACACTTGCACGCCCAGGGAGGGTGCGAGACCCCAGGAGCTGGTGCCCGGGCCTGAGGGTGGCCAGGCCACACCTGCTCGGGGGAGCCGGGTGGAGACGCTGAGGAATGGCCTTGGGGGTGGGTGCAGATCTCGGGCCCCCACCTTCTGTGTCCTCCTCCTCCCTGAGTGTCGGTGTTGGCTGCAGGCCAGAGGCGCCCGCGGGGTCGGGGTGTGGGACCCAGGGTGTGGGTCTCCAGTGTCCTGGCCACGGCTCGTGAAATGTGGACTCAACAGAAGGGGCGGCAGAACCTCCCCATTCCCTCGAGGGGCCCTGCCACGTTTGGGTCCACGTCTCAGAGCCTCACAGAGGGTGGACGCCTTCCTGCTTCGCCACCTTGTTCCCCAACCGATGCCCGGGTCCTCCCTGTGCTGGGGGTGGTGCATGTTGGTGCTGGTGTCTGGTTAAGGACACCTCGCTCGGGCTGGGGACGTGGCCCAGGGTGGCTCTGGCCGCCTGGCTGCACCTCTAGGTGGGAGATGCTGCAAGAGGCCTCCGGAGCCCCTGGGGCTAACCAGCAGCCTGTTATCCTCACCCCCTGGCCCTGCTGGGCGGGCTCCCTGGGAGAGGGACCCCAGCATTCCTCAGTGGCCCTGGGTCGTGCAGAGCGAGGACAGGGCTGCACAGGCCACACCCTGAGGGGCCTGGTTGGGGGGTCTGGGCAGTGGAGCTGGGGGAGAAGGGGAGGCCACGGCCCTGGAGGTGGCCGTCTGTCGAGCCCCGGTGGCTCCCCCAGTACCTACAGGGCCCACTGCCCGCACCCAGGAGCCGGGTGCAGCCGGTGGCCCCTGAGAGCCTTCGGGGGGTGGTTTGAGCTGCAGGTGCAGGTCAGCTGGTCCCACCCACCCCACACTGAGCGGTGCTGTGGCCCGCCGAGGTCCTGAGGGTGGAGAGGGCTGGCCAGGTGCCCCAGGGGCTGCAGGAGGAAGGGTGGTGGCTGCTGCCCAGGCCCCGGGGCCTGGCCTGTGGGAACTCCAAGAGCCCTGTCCCAGCCAGATGTGCTCAGTGTGCAGGGGGCGCTTGGGCATCTGGATCTCATCAAGCGGACTGGCCGGACCAGGGGTGGGTGGCCCGGTGACAGGGCAATTGCTTGTCCCCCCGCATCCCTCCAGGCACCCTCATCCAGGGTTCTGGCTGGAAAACCCAGGCCCCAGAGCTCAGGGACCCCAGACCCTACCCGGGCCCCTCCCGCCCTTGGTTGCCTAATTAGTAAACTCCCTGTTGTTCAAATTCCTTGCTCGACAAAATGTAAATGAAACATTTTTTTCCGGGTGTCAGTATGAAAAATGACAGTTGCTGGGATATCACAGAGGACATCTGCTCTGATCCTTAAGTGTGAACGCCCGTTTATGGCTGATGTTGCAAAACTTGAGGGAAAACATTCCCATGTACCTGGGTAACTCATGGGTGGGACGGGCCTGGCGGGCTTCCTAGGCAGTGCCCAGGGAGTGCTCTGTGTCCCTGGGTGGAGGTGCTGTCCCTTGGCTGCAGTTGCGCCGGGACAGCCATGGGATCTCGCTCTGCGTGGCACTGACCCCCCGCTGAGGACACCAGGCTGTTTTCTCAGCCAGAGACCGGCCGTGGTGGGCAGCTCACACACACATTGTCACCTGCAGCTACCACCTGGCTGGCCCACCTGGCCAGCCCTGTGTGCTTGGGGAGAGCTCTTGGCCCTGAAGCCCCAGCAGTGTAGCTGGTGCCTGCTGGGGACAGGGAGGCGTGCAGATGGCCCCAGACCTCCCCCAGCCACCTGTTAACTGATCGCACCCCTTCCCCACATCTGGGTGCCCTGGCCTTGCAGACACGGCTGTGGGCGTCCCTTCATGGGGGGTGGGTGCTTTGGCGTGGTGAGCCCCCTTCTCATGGACCCGGGGACGTTTCCGCTGCTGGCCTTAAGGAACACGCCCCGCCCCCTGCCTACGGTCCGAACTCAAGCTTCCTGGGCACGTCTGTCCTGGCACAACCAGCTGCCAGCTGTGGGGGAGGGGAGGCCGCAGGCGGCAGCACTCACGGCCCGGTCTCGCAGGGGAGTACATCAAAACCTGGCGGCCCCGCTACTTCCTGCTGAAGAACGACGGCACCTTCATTGGCTACAAGGAGCGGCCGCAGGATGTGGACCAGCGCGAGTCCCCCCTCAACAACTTCTCCGTGGCACGTGAGTGGGCTTTGCACCCCTGTGCCCTGGGGCCGGCAGCCTGCAGGCAGTGGGGCCAGGCTGGGCCGCGCTGGCTCCCAGGTCATGTCCTCTAGGACCACCGGGTGGCCAGCTCTGGCGGGCGAGGGTCTCCGGGCTGGCCCTGAGCGGTTCCCTGGTACCCTTGATCTGGAGGCTGGCGGGCCCAGCTGAGCAGTGACGACCCAGGGCCCCTCCTCCCGCCGGCTTCACCCCGGGAGAGCACTCGGGTGGGGAGGGCAGGAGGAGCACGTGGGGCCCGGGCGCAGGAGCCTCCGTCACCCCGGGAGAGCCAGCAATTCTCCCTGGACAGGCCCTCCGGGCCGCCAGACCTGTGGTGGGACCTTTGCCTGCCCCTCAGCCGGGCCGTGGCTGGGAGTCTGCCTGGACAGATGGCACACGTGGTGGGGCTCACCCAGGATGTGGGCCGGGGCGTCCCTCAAAGCCAGATGAGCTGTGGTGCTTCCTCCTGTGGCCACTGTGGCTTTACTCCCTGCCTGTGGGGGGGTAGCGTGTGTGACCCTACCCCGTGGGACAGGGGCCCAGGGGTGGAGGTGGGCCGTGGGGGTGGGATGCCGGGAGTGGCGGCCCTCCCAGCCTCATCCCCATGCCCGTGCCCCGACACGGGCCTGTGTGTGACTGAGTGGCTCGTTAGGGCCTCACCGTGGGACACCTGCCCGCGATGGGGCCGAGATCTGTGTTGGGCCGTGGTCTAGGGGGCAGAGCTCGGTGCCCACTGTGGGTTGGTCCTAGGTCCCAGCCCTGGCACTGCTGTCATAGGCCCTTCCCGCAGGTAGCTTTGCCCTCCCTGCCGTGTGGCCTGGGACCCTGGGCTCCTCCAGCTCCCCCCACCCCGACCCCCAGGTTCTGGTCCAGGGTCTTGAGAGAGGGTCAGCACTGGGCAGGGCGGGAGGGACTCCCGGTGCAGTGGCATCTGTCGGGCGCCTGGTGGCTCGGGCACCCACACCCAGGGGGCCTGGTGGCCAGCAGACCCTGCCCTAGGGGCATCTAGTGGGAGGGGAAGGGCCCGGGCTGAGGGGCTTCCTGGGGGACCTGCAGGTTCCTGTGAGCCCTGAACTGCCCTCCTGGGCTCTCTGCCGCAGGCCCGGCAGCAGCAGGGCAGCCTGAGAGAGGGGACCTGGGGTGAGGGGAGACCCAGGAGGCAGACGCCCGGTCCCCTGGCAGCCACGTGGCCACATGGGAGGTGCACTGCTGCTCATGCCAGGCTCTCCCCAGCGCCTCCTTGGTTGGGGCTGGGGGCTTCAGGGCTCAAGGAGAAGGCTGGGTGCCCCTGTGTGCCTAGCGGCAGCCTGAGGCAGGGCCCTGCTGGGGGCGGGGGAGGCAGCACAAGAAGGAAGGAGAGGGGCCTCTCTGGAGGGGACACATGGGTGGGTACCTGCCAGAGGGGGCTGTCCTAGCAGCGGCAGGCGGGGACTTCAAACGAGGCCATTGTTGGCCCGGCCCGGAGCAGGTCCTGGGGCCAGAGCTGCCGCAGTGGGGGCTGTGCTGGGCCTCTGTGTCTAGGGGCAGGGTTTTGGGGCTGCGGGCTTGAGACCTGGCCCTGGCGATGGAGCTGCATCTGCTGGGCCCCGGCGGGCTGTCCGGAGCACGCGGGAGGCTGGCGTGCCGGGATGAGAAGGCCCACTCGGGTTTTCCACTGCCCCTGCCCGCGTTGACACAGGCTGTCCTCCCCGCGAGGCTGGCCCCGAGCCCCTTCCTGGCCCCCAGGCCCAGCAGAACGCTCCCTCGCGGCTGGCCGGGCCCCTCGCGGTTGCCAGGGCCAAGATGCTGGAATGTCGGAGGCCCCTCTGCTGGCCCCCCGCCCTCCTGCCACACATAGGCTGGGCCAGAATCCTGCCGAGAAGCCTCCAAGCTGCACCATGTGCTCACACACCCTCTCAGGGCTTGGCGTGTCCCCAGAGTCCTTCAGCTGAAGATACATGTGTTCCAGGCTTGTGTGTGCTCCAGTGTGCATATGCCCCAGGTGTGCATATGCTCAGGTGTGTGTGCTCCAGCTGTGTATGCCCCAGGTGTTCATATGCTCAGGTGTGTGTGCTCCAGCTGTGTATGCCCCAGGTGTTCACATACTCCAAGTGTGTGTGTGCTCCAGGTGTGGTTGGGAAAATGGCAGAATGTTCCTGCACCAGGTGGGACAAGCTGCTCTCCCAGGCCCCTCCCTGCTGCGGCCCTGTGGGCCCTGCACACTCCCACCCTGCGAGGCCTGGTACGTGCTGGGGCTCAGATGGACAGGAGGAAGGACCGCAGGAAGGGACAGTGGTGTGGGTTGACCCGACCCAGCCTCAGATGCGCTCTGGGGTTGCCTCCCCCCTCCAGAGTGGGGTGTGGGGTCCTAGCCCCTTTTAATGAGGAGGGAAGCCACAGTTTGCAAAGGATGAAATGGGACTTTCTGAGGCCTGATGGGAGGGGTCCCGGGGAGGCGGTCAGCGCGGCCAGGGCTGTGGGGCAGGCTCCGGGATGGCAGGTGGGCGCGGGCAGATGCGTGTGTGCTGTTCCCGCCCCCAGAATGCCAGCTGATGAAGACGGAGCGGCCCAGGCCCAACACCTTCATCATCCGCTGCCTGCAGTGGACCACGGTCATCGAGCGCACCTTCCACGTGGAGACGCCTGAGGAGCGGTACGCCAGGCTGCATGGGGCTGGGCCGCCTGCCGCAAACACGTGGGGACAGTGGGGTACTGGCACCCTCTGCCTGTGGCCATCCTTGCTCCCCAGTGCTCCCAGGCCCTGCTCAGAGCCCGTTTTGGAAACCGTCTGTGGGGTTTGGGTGGGGAAGCAGGTATGAGATGACAACCAGGTGGGGAGGAGGTTCGGTCCTGTCGCAGGGCTGCACCTCAGTGTCCCCAGCGTCCAGGAGGGTTTTCTGACCCTGAGCGAGTGTGGCCAGCCCAGGGCTCTCTCTGGAGTCTCTGTCACCACCTCTGAGCTGGGCCGTGGAGGGGAGGCCGGGGTGGGTGGCAGCTGCAGGGTGGGCTCCTGCTGGAGGGCGGGGCCTCACCTGACTGCCCTGCAGGGAGGAGTGGACGACCGCCATCCAGACGGTGGCCGACGGACTTAAGAAGCAGGAGGAGGAGATGATGGACTTCCGGTCGGGCTCACCCAGTGACAACTCCGGGGCTGAAGAGATGGAGGTGTCCCTGGCCAAGCCCAAGCACCGCGTGGTGAGGCCCCAACTCTGCTGTGCCCGGGGCAGCGGGGTGGGGGCTGGCTCCCCCGTCTCCTTCCCTGTGTTGGAAGTGAAGTTGGGGTGTCGGGTCCGGAAGGTGCAATGGGGTCACTGCACCGTTCCCCAGACCCCAGTGCGCTGGCCTGGGGCCGCAGCCCCGTGTGGTCAGTGGGCCCAGAGCCCCGCTGAGCCCAGCCGGCCGGCGGGTGATTCCAGCCCCGTGCGGGCCGCTGGTGGGCGGAGGCTGAGCCGGCGCCCGCCAACCCGGCTCCTGCGCTGCCCTCAGACCATGAACGAGTTCGAGTACCTGAAGCTGCTGGGCAAGGGCACCTTCGGGAAGGTGATCCTGGTGAAGGAGAAGGCCACCGGCCGCTACTACGCCATGAAGATCCTGAAGAAGGAGGTCATCGTGGCCAAGGTGGGCACGGGCGGGGTGGGGCGGGCCGCGGGGCAGCGGGCAGGGCGGCGGCTCACCGGCCCTGCCTTCCAGGACGAGGTGGCCCACACGCTCACCGAGAACCGCGTCCTCCAGAACTCCAGGCACCCTTTCCTCACGGTGAGTCCCGCGGCCCTTCCGGGCTCAGTCTGTCACCCACACGGCTTCCTCTGAGAGACGGTCCCGTCTTCCCGCATGCACGAGGGACCCGGCCTCAGACTTGGTGACGCTGGGACCGGCCCCCGTGGAGGGTTGGGGTGTGGAGGTGCTGATGGGCACGGGGTCCTCCCCAGGCTCCCCACACCCCACGATCCTGCAGGCCAGTCTCCCGTTGCCTCCTCTGTTGGGGTGCAGGCCAGGTGGTCCCTGTCCTGCGGGACTCGGCTGGGAGGTATTTACGGTGAGTGGGATCTAGCCGCTAGACTAACTAGTTCCAAGGTCACCAAGTTTGGGAACAAGTTGGCCATGGGTGGGGTCTTTCCTTTAAGAGCAAAGCCACCTGTGGTTCCAGACGTGCCCGCCGCCCAGCCAGCTCTGTCCAGGAGGGCGTGTCCTCTCCTTGCCAGGGCAGCAGGGTCAGGAACTTGGGTCTGTCATTCTACTTCCACCCCTTTTGGTGCCCCCGAGCTGGCGGCGCGGCCAGCGCCGAGGTCCTGACGCCCCCAGACACTTGGCCAGACCCACCTAACCATCTTCCAAATAGGCCTCGGTGCCTCTTGGGCTGCCCGGCGCCCAGCCCGCTGGCAGCGTGGTGTCAGGCCGCCTTCCTGCCCATCCCCGCCCCGCGGCTCCATCTCTGCTTCCGTTTCAGGCCCTGAAGTACTCCTTCCAGACCCATGACCGCCTCTGCTTTGTCATGGAGTACGCCAACGGGGGCGAGGTAGGGGCCACGGCTGGGTGCGCGGCAGCGGGGCGGCTCTGGGGAGGGCCCTGTCCCTCTCAGCGCCTCTGCTGCCCGCCTGCAGCACGGGGCGGTGGGGCTGGTGCCCGCCACGGGCTTCTGCCTGCTAGGGGGTGGCTGCCCTGCTGAGTTGGGGTCTCCAGTACCTTCCGGGCCCCCCGGGCCTTCTGGAGGCTGGCAGTGCCCTGCGCCCTGCGGGTGGGCCTGGCCTGCCTCACGGCCGCCTCCCACAGCTCTTCTTCCACCTGTCCCGCGAGCGCGTGTTCTCCGAGGACCGGGCCCGCTTCTACGGCGCCGAGATCGTGTCGGCCCTGGACTACCTGCACTCAGAGAAGAACGTGGTGTACCGGGACCTCAAGGTGCGCCCCGTGGGCCGGCGGGAGGCAGGGACGGGGCCTGGCAGCGCTGACCACGCCGCCTCCCTCCCGCAGCTGGAGAACCTCATGCTGGACAAGGACGGGCACATCAAGATCACGGACTTCGGGCTGTGCAAGGAGGGCATCAAGGACGGCGCCACCATGAAGACCTTCTGCGGCACGCCCGAGTACCTGGCCCCTGAGGTGCGCCCGCCGCTGCCTGCGCGCGCTCCCCACCCAGGCCTGCCCTGGGCACGCTGTGACGCCCGCCCCGCCCCTGCTGCCCGCCCAGGTGCTGGAGGACAACGACTACGGCCGGGCCGTGGACTGGTGGGGGCTGGGCGTGGTCATGTACGAGATGATGTGCGGCCGCCTGCCCTTCTACAACCAGGACCACGAGAAGCTCTTCGAGCTCATCCTCATGGAGGAGATCCGCTTCCCGCGCACGCTCGGCCCCGAAGCCAAGTCCCTGCTCTCGGGGCTGCTCAAGAAGGACCCTAAGCAGAGGTGAGGCCCCACCAGTGCCCGGCCCGTCCTCCCGGCCGCGTCTCCAGGTGTGGCAGGTGGCTGGCCAGGCTGGAGCCTGCAGCTCCTCACACCTACTCAGAGAGCCCCCAACCCACATGTGCTCAGAGGCTGCCCTGCCGTCCCCACAGCCCTGGGGTGCCCCTCTGGGGAGGCCCCAAGTCATGCGGCGGGAGGGTGGGGCCTGAGCAGGCAATGGCGCCGTCACTGTGGCCCCGTCCCCTGCCCCAGGCTCGGTGGGGGCTCCGAGGACGCCAAGGAGATCATGCAGCACCGCTTCTTCGCCGGCATCGTGTGGCAGGACGTGTACGAGAAGAAGGTGCGCCGGCCCGCCCCCATCCCTAGCCCCCGCGCGTGCCCTGAGCGCGGCGCTCCCTGGCATGCTTGTCACGCACACCCACGCTTGCACCGACTGGAGGGCTGTGGAGCCTTCTGCGGCCCAGGCCCCACGCTGTGCACGCACATTGAAGGTTGGCGGGGGTGGAGTAGGGGTGCGACCCCCTCCCCTCCACCAGTTCCTTTGGTCATCTGACCTGAACCCCTCCTGCTGCAAGGAGAGCCCAGTCCTCCCTCTGGGTGTGCAGGGGTGGGAGGCCACCTGAGGGAGGCAGCTCCGTCCTGCGTGGGCCCGTCGTTGGGGGCTCGCCCTGCCCAGGGAGCCCGCGAGCGCCAGGCCCTGACCCAGGCGGACGGGGCCTCAAGGCCGTGCCCTCAAGGCCGTGCCGCGGCGTGCTGGGTGCCCTGTCACCGCGCACGTGTTGCCGGTTTCCAGCCAGCACCTCCCCTGAATGCTCGTGTCAGGCTGCACGTGGCCGCTGGGCTGGGCGGCCTGGGGACCCACCGGGCCTCTGTCCTCCCTTTGGCACAGGTGCGTGCCGCCGGCCCTGGTCCAGGTTCTGGCCCCGTGGCCTGCCACCTTCCAGCCCTGCCCTCCGAGGGTGTGGGGGGCTCGGGCGGTGCCTGACTCCTGCCCGGCCTTGACCAAGGACCCCGCTAGTGCGCAAGGGACAGCACTGGCACCAGGCCAGACTCTGGGGCCAGCATTTGAGGATGTCCTTGCCTGAGGGACCTGAGGCGCCGTCTGGTCGCCCCTCACGTGTGCACACTTTACAGTTACCCTTGCGTCCTGGGTCCTCAGGGTCCTCCCTACAGCCTGACCCTCAACCGAGGCCCTTGAGCCGTGGGGGAGGCAGGGGTTCCACGGACCTCCTTCTTCTCCCCTTCCCCATTTACGAGAAACCCAGTTAAAAGAAAGAAAGAAAGAAAACCAGAAAGAGCTGGGCATGGTGGCTCATGCCTGTCCTTCCAGCTACTCTGGAGCCTAAGCCCAGAATTCAAGCCCAGCCAGGGCAACATAGGGAGGCCCCATCTTTAAAAAAAATTTATAAAAAACAAATTGTCCCCTCTGCCAGGGGGCAGGGAGGGTCTGGCAGGGCTGGGCTGCACTGCCCATCACCTCTTGGCTGACAGGAGTGTCCCAAAGCCCCCGCTGTCCCCAGGCCGCTGCTCCACCCCTGCCAGGCCGCCGTGCCGGAGCGGGAGCTGTGCGTGGGCCGGCGGCTCGGCAGACGGCGCCCTGGAGGTGCCGGCACCATGAGGGCTGGTGTGTCCTGGGTCTGGGGTGCTGGCAGTTGGGGCGAGGCCTGTGACAGCCCCTCCGTCTGCCCCTCTGCAGCTCAGCCCGCCCTTCAAGCCCCAGGTCACATCGGAGACGGACACCAGGTATTTTGACGAGGAGTTCACGGCCCAGATGATCACCATCACGCCGCCCGACCAAGGTGAGGGCTGCTCGGCCCGCTGCCCTCCTCCCCGCTGGCGCGCCCAGTGGCTGCCCTCTGTGGGGATGCTTGCAAGGTTCAACTCCTTTTTGGCTTCAGATGTTTTAAAATCAAAATTTTTAAAAAGCTGCTTTTGGAAGGTACTAATGATAAGGGAGGGAGGCTCACTCCCCCACCCCCAGCACTCTGAGGGATGGGGGCCCGTGTCCAGATATGGGCCCTGCCTCAGTTTCCCTGGGTGCATGGCCCTGGGCTGGCGGCGATTTTGGAGGTCTGGCTTCATCCTGGAGCTGGGGGTCCGGTGAAGGCGGCGGGGGGCGGCCCCGGGTCTGAGCGGCCTCCTCCCGCAGACGACAGCATGGAGTGCGTGGACAGCGAGCGGAGGCCGCACTTTCCTCAGTTCTCCTACTCGGCCAGCGGCACGGCCTGAGGCGGCCACCGGGCAGCCACGGCTCTGCTCCGGACAGCGGCTCCACGGCCAGAGGAGGCCCCAGGCGGATGGCGCGCGTTGAATGGTTTTATTCCCGGGGTGTGTCTGAGAGGAGCCACGCCATCCTCCCGAGCACGGTGGAAAGATGCTTCGTGCTGTGGGCAGCATCCTTGGGGAAGAAAATTGCCCTGCAATTTTCCTTAATTTATTTCATCCAATTTGTGCTCCTGATGTGGCCTTGGGCCTCAGAACAATTAGATTTTCGTAGGAAAACGTTCAGGACTTCTGCAGCCACGTGCAGTGGGTCCGGGGTCCAGGCAGGTCCTGCCGCTGCCCCAGCCCCGCCCCGCCCCGTTAGCCCGTCTCACCAACTGGCCCTGGCTGTCACCTGGGTCTAGCGCACCAGAAGCAACCTCATAGTGGCATGCTGGCTGGTACCCTCGGGGGGGCACGTGGCAGCCCCCCAGGACTAAGGCCATGCCTGCAAGGATGTCCTCAGAGGCTGGCCCCCCTGAGACAGGACCTGGGGTGGGGGTTGGGCCAGGGTTCGCCCAACAGGACAGAGAAACAAGGTTTAAATTTGTTGCTGTGTATTACGTTGTTCAGATGCATTGGCGGGTGGTTAATCTTAGTAAAAAGAAAGCCCCCTCCATCCCACCCCTTCTCCCTCCTGTGTCGCGGTCTTGGTGGCCGTCCCACCGAGCACCTCCCGCTCAGACGACTCCTCCACAGTAGCACTTGTCTTCTAGACGCTTACTTTCAGCTGTGCGCCCAGGCCCCCGCTCCCTTCTGCAGGGAGGCTGGCACTGGGCCCCCACGCCCCTCCCAGCCAGATGCTGCCGCCGCCGCCGCTGCACCTTGGCGTTTTTTTACGACATTCAACTTTAGTATTTTTACTATTATAATATGAAACTTTCCCTCCAAATTCTTCAATAAAGATCGCTTTTCAAGTTTGTGGCCCACTTTGTTGGGTGAGGGGGCCCTGGTCTTCCCCCGCTCTGCTGGGCATCAGCGCCCGGGGTGGGTTCGGGGAGTGTCTGGGTCAGGCGGGTGCCTGCGGACCGTGCCCAGCCACAGCCTCCAAGGAAGACCTTCCTCCCCCAGCTCTGGCGGGACTTGCCTGAGGGGAGACACGGGATGCCCAGGTGTCCCGTGACCCCTCTTCCTGACCCCACCTGGCTTCGCCCCAGCTATGGAGGAGGCCGTCCAGGCTGCAGGGCCACCTGCCCCTGCCCCAGCTGCTGTTCCCCTGGGCAAAGCCGTGAACAGAACCCTGACCAACAGGGAGGATGGGACTCGGGGGGCCCAGCTCTGGGGTGAAGGTCCTGGCCTGGGCCACGACCAGGCCCCAGGCCTGTGGAGGCCGCAAGAGCAGCGTGCTCAGGTCACACAGCGAGTCTGGGCAGAGCAGGAGGAAGGGCTGCCCAGGTGGGGTGAGGATGGGGGGCCGAGGTCACCTCCAGAGCGCCAGGAATGAGCTCTGAGCTCCAGCAGCTGCAGGATGTGCTGCTGGCGCCACCTGGTGGAGGCCTGCCGGGGCGCTCTCCACCATGCCGGATGCAGGCCAGGCTGGTGCGGAGTGGTGGAAGCCAGGGGTCCTGGGGCCTCAACCCCCGCAGCTGAGGGCATTCATAGGGCCCACGCCTGGCCGGATGGCAGCTGTCCCCTCTCCAAGGCAATGATGGAGGGGCGGCGAGGGGGTGCCTGGCAGGGAGCACAGGGTGGGGATGACCCTGGGTCTGTGGGAGCCACAACAGCCACATCTGGATTAGTCTCAAGTTCTCTGGAGGGGGTCCCTTACTGCTTTAGTCCTAGCAGGCTGTGAATTTCAAGTCACACCAGTAACAACTTACACAGCTTTTCTGGAAGACGCAAACGTACACAAAACATTACGTACTAAATGATGCTTTGGAGGTAGCAGGCATCCAGATTTCAAATCTATTAAAAAACGTGCATCGCAGAAACCAGAATGCCCTTCCAGTATCTGCAAACTATGAGCGAAGAGTTACTGAAAGTGGCTGATGTGGAAACAGACATCTTTGAGCAGGGACTATGGGGTAGACAGGTGTGCGAGCCTAGAAGGGCCCAGGGCCACTGCAACTGCCCCTCACCCCTCCCAGGTGGACGCCCTCCACGTGGTGGGTCACACGCTTCGCCCTCAGAACCGTCGACACGAACAAGAGCCCTCTAGTGCAAATATAAAGGGGTTTATTCACTTCTGCATCAGGAGTACAAAATACAACATGTAAAAGGCGCCGCTCCCGCTCGCCCCGAGTTCGGCGTGAGCACCGCTGCTGGCTGTCCAGGGAAGGCTGCTGCCCGCCGGCGCGGCCCTCGGGGAAGGCAGCTGACCTGAGCTGCCCTCAGGCTTCAAACATGGCGCAGCTGGTGCACAGTGCTTTCTCATAAATGTCACTGCAGCTGCGACATCACCAGGGAGGAGAGAAAAAAGCTGCTGTTAGGGGCTGTAACATGATTCCAATGCCGAGGTCCCAGCCCCAGCATACCCCAGGATGTGACTCTATCTGGAGGCAGGATCACAGTTGATGGGATGGCACACTGGAGTGGGGGCCCTAAAAGAAGCATTAGGCGAAGAGAAAGACCGAGGATGACATGAAGACACGGGAGAAGCCGGCCATCTACAAACAGCAAGGAGCACCGGCAGCCACGGGGAGCGAGCAGACCCCCTCGCACAGCCTCTGAAGGAAGCAGCCCGGCCGACACCTTCGACTCAGACCCTGGCCTCCAGAACTGGGGTCGGTCAATCTGCTGTCTCAGCCCCGGTCGGTGGTGCTGTTGACAGTGGCCCTGTGACGGTGGCCACGGCTGACTCACACAGCAGGTAAGGCCATTTGGGGCCCAACCTGGGTTTCAAATAGGACAGAAGCTCTCCACAGAAACCTCCCAGAGTCCTGTCAGAATTCCCGGGGCCACGAAGGTTTACATGGGAAGCCTGCCAAACGGTGATTTACTCTGATACAGCAAGACTCTAAGAGTAAAGACTAGGAAGTCCAGCAAATCACAGGGAGAAACTGATCAGGAGAGAAAGTACAAGGACACGAACAGGCAACGCGCTACAGGAAACACAGGTAAGGACAGTGCAGTCTAAGCTGAGTCAACAGAGCAGTTGGGACTGCTCGCCACTTGGCGCTTCACACGCTTCGCTGGCAGCGCAGTGTGCGGCCGTCCGGGCAGCCCCCAGCCAGTTCCTGCTGGCGAGCCCTGCAGGCCAGGCCAGGCCAGGCATGGGCCGTGCTGGGCCACCGGGCAGGCTGCCGCGTCTGCGTTAAACCAGAGCCGCGGGGAGAGACCCGCCCTCACTCACAGAGCTGGCTGGGGAGGGGGCAGGAGACTGTGGGCTTCCCATGGGGGATGCTGGGGACATAGCTTCCTGCAGTGACCTGGAGCAAGTCACTTTTGTGTAAAAAAGGGCAGGGCTCTCTCAGGCATCCCAGTGTGAATTCTGGGGGCCTCTGGGGAAGAGGAAACCAGTTCGGGGAGTCCAGGGGAGGTCCTTCCAAGACGCCTGTGCAGGGCGAGAGGGCAGGCCAGGCATGTGGGGCTGCACAGTTCTCTCTGGGGACCGCATTCTCCCCTCAACCTGCCCTTCCACTCTGGGTTCACCCCTGCGCCAGTGAGGAGGTGACGCAGGGGAGACCACGCCTTTTCAGTTTACCCGTATGCAGGAAGAGAGAAATTGGGTTGGTGAAAACCAAAGAAAGAAGACGCGACGTCTGTAGTCACCCAGCGTGGAGGCCGCGGCACCCTACTCCCACATCGAAGCCATGGGAACCAGCCACAGAGCCTCGGCGCTGCTCCCCAGTGCACCGCCCCCCACGGCGGGACCCCAAGCTCCCACCCAGCCGAAGAGACTCGGGATGTGACGTGTGGTTCTGTCTCGCACGGCAGCCACCCTGTGTGTCTGGGGGAAGTCGTCTGCCTTGCAGGGCACAGCTCTGCCCTGCCCACTGCCAAGAGTGGCCACTGGGGTGGGGACGGTCCCCCTGCCCAGCACCCTCTGAGCAAGGACGGGACCCTGCCAGCTGCGGCAGACACGCAGGCACAAAGGGCAGCTCAAGCAGACACCCCACCTCGTGCTTAAAGCCAATCCGCAGCCAAACAGGCGCAACTGCGGGGAAAGCGGCGGCGTGCGCCTGCTGCCAAGTGCCGGGGCGCCTCAGACGCCGAGAAGCTGCGCAGCGAACAGATCCCTGAGAAAGTGCTGGCTAGGAGAGCCCCGACAGGAGGGCAGAGAGAATGAGAACAGGACGCTGCCTGACACAGGGGGCCCGAGCCGGAGAAAAGAGCAGCGGTCTGGAAGACTTGGAGCTCCTTCAGAAAGGGCCACTAACCGCTAAAGCTGGGCCAAGCGGCCGTCACCACCACAGCCCGTCACGCAATACCAGATGGCGCGGTGTCAGGGCCACGCAAGCAGGTGCTTGTGGGCGACCCACCCATCCCCACGTATGGCTCGCTGAGGACATGATTCTGGCACTTACTCCACGAGGCCGCACAGGGCGCAGGCCACGGCGCCGCAGCCCCAGCAGGCGCGCACGCACCGTCTGCACAGGGCTCGCTCGCACTGGCCGCAGACCGCCTTCCCGTCCACGGCCCTCACGCACGACGAGCAGGCGACGGACGCTGCCCCAGATGGGTCTGCGAGGAAAAAATGCCACACCGTCAGCCGGGAAAGGACACTGGAAGAGTTTGGGGCGGCAGGGTCACCCACCTCCCTGTACACCTGAGGGCAGAATGCTCCCACCTGCCGCCCCGGCCCCCACCCAGCACTGCATCCTTCCGACAACCTGTGAGCCAAACAGGGCACCCAACACCCCTGTACCCGGGGAGAACGCGAAGGTGAGACGCACCTGTGGCCATTCATGTGACTCCAGGTTTGGGCTCCTTCCCTTGCCTAGAACCCTCCGCCACCTGGGCCTAGGCTGGAGGGCCCAGCTCCTCCCCAAACGCTGGTGTCAGAGCTCTGCGTGTCCCACCTGTGTCTGTGTGGCCCACTGCTTCTGTGGCTAGCAAAGAGGTCCTGGGCCCCTCTTAGACCCACAGACCAGATTTGGGGGTGAGGTCAGGGACTCTGTTTTCAAAAGGCAGCACAGGCGGTGGTCTGAGACCCACACCGCACAGGTATGGAACCTGCGTGTCTCCACCTGCTGGGACTACCTGAGAGGGCTGCAGGTGGAAAGCAGGTGGGGCACCCAGGTGAGTCTCTGCTCCTTCTCTGGCCCGGTAGTTAGAGTCTGTTTAACCATGTCCAGACTCGGACATTGGCGAGGGTCAGGCCTCCGGTAACAGCAGCCTTCGGGGCCTTCCAGCATTTGCCTGACGCATCAGACCTGGCTGGACTCCTGCTTGCCCAGGTAGGAAAGGGCCCTGAGCAGACAATTTTGCCAGTAAAGAGAAACACACAAGCCACCACCGGCCAGTGCCACTCACCGGCTTCGGAGGCCTGCCCGAGGCTCCTGGTCAGGCGGCCGTCAGGTCCAATCAGCATCTGCCCACGTGCTGCCCTCGGGGCCACCAAGGGGCCAGGCTTCGGGGACTCTGGCAGGTGAACGACAGCACAGCCTTCATCCCACATGTGGTCCATGTACGCCTGGGCCCCGAGGAAAAGAAGTTGCCTGGTCTTCTCTGGGGAAGACAAATCACCCTCACGTTCACACCTGGGCAGCACAGGACGCCCCTGCACAGCCACCTCACCCTGCAAGCCTCGCATGGACCCTGCTGGCGCGCACTGTGCGTCCCCTTTGGGGCCTCTGTCAGCCAGTAACCCCAGCCCAAGCTGGGTCCCGGCCAGGCCGGCCTGCTCTGCCTCCATGCTGAGAACGCTCTTCCCTCCCGCCTCGGCTGCCACGTCCTCAGAGTGTTCCTGCCCTGCAGCCCCCCTTGTGTCCGACACAAAGGACACAGACAGGGACACTCCTCTCCTATTGCGCTCATCTGCAACTCACAGCTGGCCTCACCTCACAGGCTGTGCCCCCTCCCCCAGCACCCCCACCCTGGAAGCGGGCTCTGTGACGCACAGAGGAAGCTCTGCACGGTGCAGCGATAATTCACAGAACAGGCTCCTCCTCTGCCCACCCAGGCAGGAAGCAGCCACAGGCTGAGCTGGCCTGTGACCTCAGGCCAGTGCGCGTCGCACTGCTTCGCCTCCTGCAGAGCTGCTGGCAAGACGGGGCAGCAGCCGGCTCCTGACAAAGGTATCCCAGAACCTTCCAGACCCACCTATCCCTGGGAGCTGAAGTGGTTACTCAGCACCCAGAACAGTGGCTTTCCATCAGGCTACAGTTCAGTCACCTGGAGGAATTCACAGCGTCAACACCCGGCTCCAGGCCCAGCGATGCTTCGTTTTTCCTTTTCTACCTCACCCCCAGCCGGGACAGAGATCCTAGAAACCCTGCGGCTCCACGTGAAACTGGCAGCAATGACAGTGACAGGGCAACTAATGGAGTGGCTGATGACAGCCCAGCCACACCCTGCACCTCTTCTTCCCGACCCTCCATGGTGCCCTCATTTATAAGTGGATGTCACAGGGTGAGAGTAATCCTTGTCCTCAAGGACTTGTGGTATAATTGTGGCAAAGAGATCAGGGTGGCAGCTGTGGCTTGGCTTTCACCACTCGAGTCACGCTTACTACGGAAGGCCCAGCGAGCCAGCCGCCCTCCCCGGCCCAGTCCTGTGAATGACAAGCCCCTGCAAATGCCCTAGGACTCAAGGGAGACAGTCGACACTTAGGCTGACCTGGTCCCCATTCCTGTTTAGTTCACATGTCCTGAGAGGGCACACAGTTGCAGTTCAGCCACAGACTCCGTGCCCGCCTCATTTATTACCTGCATGGCCTGCGAGGTCATTTGAGTTTGCAACCCTAGTGCGCAGGGAGAGAGAGGGCGGAGCAGTTGCTGGCTCTGGGGAGATGCAGCAAGAGGAAGAGAACTGGAGAGAAGCCGACCCGGAGACTGGGCTCTGTCTCCCCATTCCCAAACGCAAGTGGCACCACTCAGTTGCCAACACCGTGGGTCATTCTCTAACTGCTCTACAGCATAAACCTTGTGTCCCCAACCACTAGGGAAGGTAAGCTCCACTTTGCACCTACCCCAGGTATTAGTCACTCTAAAGTGATGATCAATAATAGCGATATACCTAATGCCCGCATACGAAAATCCACCACCTCAGAGAGGAAACTGCGGCCCCACCATCACGGCGCACTCACCTCTGAGCTCCCTGCCCTCACATCCTGCCTGGAACTGGAAATTGCTATTTCGCTCTCCCGCACCCGGCCTCTGCTCACGCTGATCCCGCTACGTTGCACTCTTCCCCTCCTCTCCCTCCCTGCCTAACTCCTCCTCGCCCTGCCGGATTAGGCTTAGGCTGTTCCTTCGAGAAACCTCTGATATCTCTGATATCCCTGCAGATGCTCCTGCAGCAACCTGAGCCTGCCCTCACCACGGGCCTCCCCCGCTAGTCTGGGCGCTCCCGGGACGCAGGGGCGCGTCTGTCTTCTTTGCCTTTGGTCTCCCGGGCCAGCCCAGAGCCTGGCAGGGCGGGCGTGCTCCATAAATATCTCTTGGGTAGAAGAAGCACTTTTCCAGTTTAATCCACCCAGGACATCCCATCCCCCGACCTCTCCCACGGCCTGCGGGGCCCCGGGCGCACAGACTAAGGCATCCTCCACAAAGTCCGGACAACAAAGTCCCAAGAAGCACCAAGCGGGCTCCGCTCACTGTGGACGGTGACTTGTGGAGAGCTCGTGGAGGAAGGGGTGGCGACAAGGGCAGCGACAGAGAGGACGGGCCTGGGGGTCACTCAGGTCCCACTCACTGACCCCAGACGTGGCCAGCCCGTGTCCCCGCAGCCTCCCAGCTCCCAGGGGCTCGGGGCCGGGAAAGTGGATGCCACCTGTGGCCTGGCGGGATGGAGGCCCCGCTGCGGCGAACCCTCGACAGCCGCCCCCGCACTCACCGAAGATCTCCCGTGAGTAGCGCTCGCCGCACACGCCGCGGCTCAACTCCTTCTGGCCCACACGGACCTTGAGCTGCAGCGGGGCCGCGGCCGCGAAGGGACAGCCCCGCTTGGGCATGGCCGCGGGGCCCGAGCGACGCAGCTCCGCTGCCGCGCGCGCCTGACCACTGACCCCATGACGTCACAGCAGCGCGCCAATCCGCGGGCGAGGACGGGGGCGGGGCGAGGGCGCGGCGCGGCCCGGGATAGGCCGGGGTCGAGATCGGAGGCGGGGCTCCTGCGCAACTAGGCTCCGGATAGGTCGAGGGGGACGTCGCGGCGGGGTTCGTGCGTCGGCGACCGCAGCGCGGGAAAGGTCGGGGAGAGGTTGAGGGTCAGGGGGCGCACCCGGCGCATCCTAGGCCGGAGGAGAGCTCGGAGGCGGGGTTCCTACGAGCGCGGCGCAGGATAGGGTGGGGGCAAGGTCAGGGACGGTACTTGGTGGCGCAGGAAGGGCCAGGGGCAAGGCTGAGAATCGGGACTGTTCAGCGCAGTTGGCGACAGTAACAGATAGAAACTTGTGTGTCGGGGCAGGGCTCGTGGGAGGTGCGGCGCGAGATAGGTCGGTGGCGACGTTTGGGGCGGGACTCGTGGGAAGCGCGGCTCCAGATAGGTCGGTGGCGACGTCGAGGGTGGGGCTCGTGGGAGGTGCAGCGCGGGATAGGTTGGTGACAGCATCGCGTCCGCTTCGTTTTGGCCCCTAAACGACTGTGGGCGCTGGTTTCATTTCCTCGTTCCCTTTCCCCAAGTTCGAGCGTGACCCACTCTTGCTAGGTTTTGACGGTGGCGAATTCGCAGCCTTCTGCTCCCGCTAGGCCGACCTGACTTCCCGCAGGTCCACGCGGGCTCCGGGAGCCTCAGTTCCCGCTCCCGGCAGCTACCGCCCTGCCCACATTTCCTCCATTGCCGGAAAAGTGCCTTTTTTACAGCTGGCTCATTGACTGGGGGTCCCCGCGCCGGGCAGTGCTCTCGCGGCTGTCCCTCTCTGGGGTCCTGCTCATCAGAGGTCCCTGCTCCCCTCTGACCTGGTCCCCGCGGCTGTCCCTCTCTGGGGTCCTCGTTAGAGGTCCCTGCTCCCCTCCTCTGACTGGGTACCCGCTGCTGTCCCTCTCTGGGGTCCTGCTCGTTAGAGGTCCCTGCTCCCCTCCTCCGACCGGGTCCCTGTGGCTGTCCCACTCTGGGGTCCTGCTGGTCAGGCACATTTCCTAAACATCAATGTCATAATTTTACTCTAATTTGGTCTTGACGTCTCTGGAGAGTGGCTATGAGTTCTAGCCCTGCTCTGTCGGGGCTGCAGGGAGGAGATAGTGGGTGTTCACAGCAAGTGTTTACGGGATGCGTCCTCATCCTGGTGGACAGCCCAACGCCTGAGTGTCTGACCGTGACCAGGCGCCCCTCTCACACTTGGCTCATGTGTGCTGGCAGGCGACCTTGTGCCTCTTTGTCTGACCTTTGTCCCGTTTATTCCTACCAAGTCAGCTGCTCTCTAGGAGAGCCCTGACCGGGACGAGAGTTAGGTTCGGGTGTGTCAGGTAAGGCACAGAGGGGGCGGCTCAACAGCACACATGAAGTAACAGAGGCATCGTGTGACCCACAGGTCCAGAGAGAGGAGGGCGGCCTGCCTCAGGCAGCTGCAATCACCAGAGGGTGGGAAGCAGTTGAGGGAGTGAGCGACCTGTGGGCCGAAGCCTTTACTGGGGCCCCGGCATTACCAGGCGGGTTTCCTGCGGGGAGTTCTGAGTGGCGGGCATAGCGCCAGCAGGCACCAGCCCCGTGGAGTCTTGCTGGGACTGAGAGGTGGTCACAGCGGCACGTGTGCAGCCCATGTGGGGATGGAGGTCAGTGGGGAGAGTCACGTAAGCTGCGCCCAGCTGTCCCATAGGGAGGTGGTCACCAGGGGGCGGTGGTGTAAGGTTGACCTGGTAGACCACCTTGAGGAACAGGAGGAGGCAGAGAACTAGAAGCTGTGCCGAGGTGACTGAGTCCTGCTTCTGGCAGGAGAAAGTCCAGCTCGTGTCCAAGTGGATGCTGAGGCAGCATGAAATGACGAGAATTCACTACAATTGTCAAACCACCAATTTGTCCTGTACCCGTGTATCGCACAGAGACCAACACTGCCTCATGTGCACTGGGGCCGTGTTCTCCATGCGACGTGGAGAGAGCCCCTTACTGTAACAGCTCAGATGCTCACAACATCTGCTTCTCAAAATAAAGGGATGGGGACCCAAATTATCTGCGGGGTTGTCTACACTGAACCATCACTCAGTGACAGAGCCTCCTGACCCTAGAACACATGAAAGAGTTGATGCGGGGAAGAACCATTTCCCCTCTAAGTTGGTGTCCTCTTACGCAGTAAAACCTCCACGGACACCTGCTGGCACTGCCTGTGGCTCCTCCTCAAGAACAATGACAACGACTGTGTCTCAGTGGAGGATTAGCAGCTACTACAAAATACAGATTTGAAAACTTTTTTTGCAGCTCCCTAATTTAAATGGCAGTTGAGGCCAGGTGCAGTGGTGCACACCTGTAAACCCAGCACTTAGGGAGGCCGAGGTGGGCGGATCACTTGAGCCCAGGAACTGGAGACCAGCCTGGGCAACATAGTGAGACCCTATCTCTAAAGAGAAAAAAATGAGCTGGGCGTGGTGGCTCGTGCCTGTAGTCTCAGTTTCTCGGGAGGCTGAGGCAGGAGGATGCTTGAGCCCAGGAGTTGGAGGCTGCAGTGAGCTATGATGACACCACTGCTCTCCAGCCTGGGACAGATTGAGACCCTGTCTCTGAAACAACAAAATGGCAGCTTAAACTTGTGAAGCTAGGCTTGCAGCCTTTTATACGGAATGGAATGATTTCTTTTTCCTTTGAAAAATGTCTGCTGTGTGTGAGGGTCGAGTCATACAAGGTGCCATCCCCCTTCCCCCAGGAGCTTACCCCTGCCACGGGGCTCTCTCCCTTTGTCCCTCTTGCTATATTACGGAAGGAACTCGCTCCTGCTGAGTGCTGCCACAGCTGGGGAGGGCAAGCAGTTACCGTGGCATGATGTGTCTTCTGCCTTTCAGGTCACTGAAGGCCGTGCTTAGCATCGTTTAGAGAAGTTTGGTTGCACGCCTGAATCACGGGAATTCAGAATGGAGCCCGCCACGTGAGCATCTCCGAGGTGTGAGTCGACCAGAGCCCGGAGCCCACAGAACTCGGTCCCCACTGTGAGAGCAGCCGCACGGCACGTGGTGGCAGGTCTGGTTTCACCCTCCAGGGCCGTGTCTCTCCAGTGAATTCCTTCCCTCTCGGAAAGCATACTGAGAGAGCGGTTATTTCTCTAACTCTACCCCACACTCTGAGAAGTTATTAAGGAGGCTACTAGGCGTTCAGGGAGCGCCGGCCACCATGTGCATCACGCAGCTCTGGCCAGTTACGACGCGGCTCATCCCAGCAAAGGAAACCCAGAGGGACGGTGGCCATGCGGGCCACTGGCATGAGGAGGGGCTGTTGGCAGGGCTTCGTCACCCCACGGGGAGGACAGGAAGTCCTGGGTCAGCGGGGCAGGTGCTGCCCAGGCAAGAACTCTAGAGTGTAATTTGTTTACGCGTTTAGTATTTTTCGTTTTGTTTTTTTAGAGGTGGGCCCAAGCTAGAGTGCAGTGGCATCATCACAGCTCGCTGCAGCCTTGAACTCCTGGGCTCAAGCAATCCTCCTGCCTCAGCCTCCCGAGGAACTGAGCCTACAGGTGTGCACCACCACGCCTGGCTAGTTTTTTTTCATTTTTTTTCTGTAGATGGGGTCTTGCTATGTTGCCCACGCTGGTCTCCAACTCCTGGGCTCAAGCAGTCCTT